TGTGCTCTCTCCCAGCTCCCTAGCGACTGCATCATGGAATCTCAGAGAAACAGGCAGCAGGATAATAGGAAATTGGATGGTACCAATATCAGACCTTACATCCAAGACAGCACTTGGAAACAGAAAGTCCTGCAGAGTCTGGAGAATTTCCTTATCTTCCATTGGCTGGCCCTGTAGTTTTGATGGCAGGAACACAGGCCCCTGCTCCCTTTTCCCCCAGTAGTTGATACCATGTCCCTAGATACAGAGGTGAGTCTAAGTCCTCAAGTGGCCTTTGCTTTCTTCTAGTTCTTCCAAACAGGAATTCTGTTTGGGTTTTGCAGATATATCCACAAGGGCAATTGGGAATCCCTGAAGGAAGCAGCATATTCTGGGATGTGACTCTCTGTGTGTATTTATTAATTTGTCACAGTACTATGCTCAGACCTGGAATTCTTGTATCTGAGAGATTCTGTGGTTACTCACTGCACGAAAATGCTTCTGGTATTGGAATAGATTCTTCTCCAACCCAAATAGGATGTGGTATCAAACTCTAATAAAAATGGATCCCAATGTACAAAAATATTTATAGCAGCTCATTTCTGGGGACAAATAATTAGAAATTGAGGGGTGATACCCATCAATTGGGGAATGGCTGAACAAGTTGTGGTATATGATTTTGATGGAATGAAATGATGAGCAGGATGTTCTCAGAAGAATCTAGAAAGACTTGCATGGTCTGAGGCAAAGTAAAATGTACTGTGTACAAAGTAACTGCAATATTGTGAGATGATCAGCTGTAAATGGCTTGCCTTTTCTCAGCAATAGAACAATCCAAGATAGCTGTGAAGGACATGATGAAGGATACTATCCAACCCCAAAGAAAGAACAGATAGTATCTGAATACAGATTGAAGCACACTTTTTTTTTTACTTTATTTTTCTTGAGTTTGTGTTTTTTGTCTGTTTTCTTTCACAACATGACTATTATGGATATCTTTTGCATGACTGCATATGTATAGTCTATGGTGAACTGCTTGCCTTCTCACTGAGGGTGTATGGGGAGGGAGGAAGAGAGACAATTTGGGACTCAATGTTTTTTTAAAAATTTTTTATTAATTTATTTTGATTTATCAACAATCACTTTCATAAGCTTTTGAGTTTTAAATTTTTCTTCCCCTCCCAAAGACAGCACACAGTCTGATATAGACTATGCATATGCATTCCTATTAAACACATTTTCATATTAGTGATGTTGTAAGGAAGAATTAGAACCAATAGGAGGAACCACTAGAAAGAGGAAACAAATCAAAACAGAAGAAAAAATTAGTAAATAGTATGCTTCGATCTGCATTCAAACTCCATAGTTCCTTCTCTGGATGTGGATAGCATTTTCCATCACGAGACCTTTGGAGATGTCTTAGATCCTTGCTTTGCTGAGAAGGGCTAAGTCTATCAATGTTAGTCATCACACAACATGGCTGTTGCCATGGAGAACAACGTTCTCCTGGTTCTGCTCACTTCACTCAGCATCAGTCCATACATGTCTTCCCAGGTTTCTCTGAAGTCTGCCTGCTCATCAATTTCTTATAGTAATAGTATTCCATTACATTCATATACCACAACTTGTTCAGCCATTCCCCAATTGATGGGCATCCCTTCAATTTCCAATTCTTTGCCACTGCAAAAAGAACTGCTATAAATATTTTTGTACATGTGGGTCCTTTGCTCATTTGCATGATCTCTTTGGGATACAGCCCTAGAAGTAGTATTTCTGGGTCAAAGGGTATGCACAGTTTTATAACCCTTTGGGCATAGTTTCAAATTGCTCTCCAAAATGGTTGGATCATTTCACAACTCCACCAACAATGCATTAGTGTTCCAATTTTCCCACATCTTCTCCAAATTTATCATTTTCCTGTTTTGTCATGTTAGCCAATCTGACAGGTATAATGTGGTACCTCAGACTTGTTTTGATTTGCGTTTCTCTAGTCAATAGTGATTTGAGCATTTTTTCATATGATTATAGATGGCTTTAACTTTTTCATCTGAGAACTGCCTGTTCATATTCTTTGACCATTTATCAATTGGGGAATGACTTGTATTCTTATAAATTTCACTTAATTCTCTATATATTTTAGAAATAAGGCCCTTATCAGAGACACTGTTGTAAAAATTTTTTCCCAGTTTTCTACTTCCCTCCTAATATTGGTTGCATTGGCTTTGTTTGTGCAAAAACTTTTCAATTTAATGGAATCAAAATTATCCGTCTTGCATTTTGTAACATTCTCTGTCTCTTGTTTGGTCATGAATTCTTCTGTTCTCCATAAATATGACAGATAAACTATTCCTTGCTCTCCCAGTTTGCTTATAGTATCAGCCTTTATATCTAAAACATGAAACCATTTTCACTTTATTTTAGTATATGGTGTGAGATTTTGGTCTATGCCTAGTTTCTGCCATACTCTTTTTCAGTTTTCTCAGCAGCTTTTGTCAAATAATGAGTTCTCATCCCAGAAGCTGGGGTCTTTGGGTTTATCAAATAGTAGATTACTATAGTCATTGACTGCTGTGTCTTACATACTTAACCTATTCCACTGATCTACCACTCTATTTCTTAGCCAGTACCAAGTAGTTTTGATGATTGCTGCTTTATAATACAATTTAAGATCTGGTATGTCTAGGCCACCTTCCCTTGCATTTCTTTTCATTAGTTCCCTTGACATTCTGGACCTTTTGTTATTCCAAATGAATCTTGTTATTATTTTTCTAGCTCTATAAAATAATTTTTTGGTAGTTTGATTGGAATGGCACTGAATAAGTAAATTAGCTTAGGTAGAATTGTCATTTTTATTATATTAGCTCGGCCTACCCATGAGCAACTGATGTTTTTCCAATTATTTAGATCTGACTTTATTTGTGTGAAAGGGACTCAAAGTTTTAAAAACAAATGTTAAAAGTTGTTTTTACATGTAACTGGGGAAAAATAAAAACAAAATACTAAAAAGAAGAAAAAAATGGATTCTATCAGGCCACATATTGACTTAGAAAACCACAAATTCACATTATCTAGGTTATATTGTATTTTTACTTATTTTGTTAAATTACATTTACATTTTAATCTGTTTCTGACTACTGGGAGTTTTGCAAGTTTGACACCTCTTGTGTGGAGCAGCATTGGTCTGTGGTTTTAAAACTTAGCCATGTCAACCAGGCAAACTCTCTGGCCCTTAGTTTCCATAATTTTTAAATGGAAGAAATAACATTTGTACTAACTCACATGATTGTGACAAGGAAAGTACTTTATAAACTACAAAGTGATATATAAAAGTAAAGCATTTACTAGGAAAGTTATAACAATTGAAGCTTTTCTTATCTTTTCAGATTTACAATATACCATTTTTGCATTCTAATTCAATTCAATTCAACAAACATTTTTAAGTACCTACTGTGTGCCATGCATTGTGCAATTCTAATTATGCACTTATGCAATTCAAAGGCAAAAATGAAAATAGTCCCTACCTTTAAGCATCTTGATAATGGTGGTTGTGGGGTGTATACAGATAATGATATAAAAAATACCAAAAAAAAATACAAAATAATTTTAGGCAGAATACAAATAACTGGTGGGGGGATCAGAACAGCCCTCCTGTAAATGAGATGTGAGAATGTATCTAGGGATTCCAAAGAGCATAGATTAGTAAGGAGAACATTACAGGCATGGGAGACCATCTCTGAAAAGGCACAGAGGTGGGAGGTGTAGAATAAGGAGAAAATACTATAAAATTAGTATGGAAAAATAGATTGGAGCATGATTGGAGCAAATGATCCACTTTTATTGTTAAACACAGGAGTTTGTATTTTATCTTAGGGGCAACAGGGAGCCACTGAAGCTTCTTGAAAGCAAAATGACCTAGTATTTGGGGAACATTGATTTGGCAGCTACATAGAGAATTGATTAGAGAAGGGAGAGATTGGAAGCAAAAAGACCAATTAGGAAGCTATTGTGATCATCCAGAGGAGAGGTGATTAGGATGTGATCTAAGGCAGTGATCACGGGAGTAAAAAGAATGGGAAGGATGGGGAAGATGTTACAGAGGCAGAAAGTCTTAGCAAGTGATGGGCGGGGAAGGGACTGAGTGAAAATAAAGATAAAAAAAAAACTAGGATGGCTCCAAGGTTGTATACCTTGGTAACTAGAAGGATGGTAGTACCTTTGGCTGAAATGGGGAAATTAGGAAGAGGTGTGGGTTTAGGAAAAAACACAATGAGTTCCATTTTGGATATGTCAAGTTTGAGATGCCTATGGGTCATCCAGGTGATAATGTATAGAAAGTAGTTGGTGGTACAAGAAGAGAGCTCATGAGAAAGATGAGGCTTGCAGCATGTATTCTAGGTACAAAGCACAGAAGCCTTAGAGTTCATCTTATGTTTGCTGGATTGAATCGAGCCCCTGCTTTCCTTCTTGCTCAGAATAATTATTTATATTTGGTTTATGTCAATTCATCAATAAACATCTATTATCTACCATGTGTTAGAGGAGACCCAAAAAAAGAAAGAAAAGAGAAAAAGAAAAAAGAAAAGAAACAATTCCTACTCACAAGAAGCTTATATTCTATTTGAAATTGCTAAAATCCAAATTCTGGTTCCAGAGAGTAATTTTTTGGCATCCATGTTTATCTCGTATTAGGCTTTGGCCATCTTAAATGGTTTTTGTTAGTTGGCTACGTATTTGAGAGTTAAGAGTCTAGCTAGTAATATGGAAATATGTTTTGCATGACCTCACATGTATAATTGAAATCAAATTGCTTACCTTCTCAAGGAAGGGAAGGGGGAAGAAAGGAAAGGAGAGAATTTGAAACTCAAAATTTTAATAAATGATTGTTAAAAGTTTTTTACATGTAATTATGAAATATTTAATAAAATACATAAAAATAATTAAAGAAAAAAAAGATCTAGCCAGATGAACTCATCCCATTCTACTGTTTCCCCACACACTTCCCCCCACCCTTCCTTCTACAGGCAACTTAGGATTGTAACAGGTGAATGGTTTTTTGAAGAACGGGCAAAGCGCTTCAAACAAGCCAACATTCTGGGAACAGATGTTGTCAGACAGTCCATTCTAAGAAGGAGTCCAGGTAATTAAACATTTCGAATATTAATTTCAAGAAAATAATCATAAAGTTAGCGGGCTTGGTTTGTTACATTTTCTGTTCTACAATTAATGAACACAGAATTGAATTTCTTTTATCACTTAGGTGATCTTAAAGCCTGAAAGTATGAAGTGTGCCAAATGTTTCCCCTCTTAAATCTTCACTTCATAGCAGAGAAGAAAGTACCAATATAATAAATCTGCTGTGTTTCGATGTGTGACACACTAAGATTTCAAAATAGGGCATTTGTCATCTTCATGGTTTGATTTCTGAAACCCTTTTTGTCCTCAATATATTCTCTAATATTTGACTTTAAGGGCTCCTCTCTTTGAGAAATGTCAAAATACAACATCTGGAATTTAGAAAATCCGGAATAGTTGGTGATGATTACCAGGAAAGGATTCTTTTTTTTTCTTATTTTTAGGCAATTGGGGTTAAGTGACTTGCCCAGGGTCGCACAGCTAGTGTCAAGTGTTTAATCTGAGGCCAGATTTGAACTCAGGTCCTCCTGATTTCAGGGCTGGTGCTCTATCCACTTTGCCACCTAGCTGCCCCAAAAGGATCCTTTGATTATGGAAATATTTACCACCAAGTTCCTTTAGAAAGAATCCTTCCTTTACTTTTAAATAATATCTAAAATGTAATCTGGTTGGCCAAAAAAAACGCATTTAAACTTTCTTCCCAAAAGTATATTTCCTATATAAAAAGAGGAATACTTGTAGTAGCAGATGGATCATATCCCTTAAATTTATCCACATGATAATCATTCTTTTTCTTATGTAAGAGCTGATCATCCTTGTAGGAATAATGTGCTCAGTGGTCTGAACAAATTCCAGTGAGCTTTCCTGGGGTAGGTCTTCTAATAAAATGGCAGGAATTTAGCATGGTGCCAAAAAAAGACCAGAGATGGGTAAGGATTAAGTTCAGCAGCCAGTCATTATAACTTCTCTTAACAAAGCTTTCCTGCTTACCAAAGTGGGCCCACAAGCCATCAGGCAAATGCCAAGGATCCCTTTTGGAAAGGCTGGTTTATGGATCCAAAAGCTGCATCCAAAGGATCCTAAAATTCCTGAGGGAGAGATGCAGGGCAGGAAAAGATCAAACTGATATACTTCTTCTGTCCTTTAATAACTGCCCTACCCAATGGAAATGAACTTATAGGCAAGAGGATGACCAGTACTCTACAGAGTAGTGGCAAGTGGCATATCTCCTGCTTCATTTTCTTTTCTTTTTAAATTTTTTTCTTTTTTAAAAAAAGTTTACTTTAACAAATACCAGTAAAATTAACATTTCCATATACATAGTAGAACGGAAAAAGATTGCTCGTGAAATTGTTAATCTCTTATATACAGCGTGTTTTTTAATGCATATAATAAATACAGTATATAACTTTCAAAACTGTCTTACTTCTCTAAACTTCCTTCTGTACTTCCTTTTTTTCTCTTCTGTGCAATTCAAAGTATGCCTCAATGACCCTCTTTTCTTTCTTTTTTGTCAGTCTTAACTCTAGTCTTCCTTTTTCTCTCATCCCGTCCCCACTCCCAATTGAAAAAAGAAAGAAAAACAAAACTCCTGCACCAAATAAGCATAGACATGCAAAACAAAATACCACACTAAGCATGTCCCAAAATGTGTCTATCCTTCTGCTTTTCTCAGTATATTGTGTAGCTCGGCTTATACTCAGTCCTCTGGAATCCTGCTTGGTCATTGAATTGATCAGAGTTTTTTAGTCTTCAAAGCTGTTTTTCTTTACAATGGTGCTGCTGTTGTATAAATTGTTGTTCCCAGTCTACTCACTTCACTCTGCAGAATTTTATCTTCCCAGATTTTTCTGAAACCATCCTTTTTGTCATTTCTCATGGTGCAATAACATTTCATTTTATCTAGTTAGTTTTCCAGGTAAGTAGGATCAACAAGCATCCCAGACCTCCTCTGTTTATTCTAAGGTCTGTGTGGAAAGAACAGAGTTTTTCTACCAATGCTGTAATATCCATGTTTGGATCTCTGCAGTCCCACTATTCCTTCACCTATGGGCTGGTCCTGCTTTAAGCTGTCAAGTACAATGAGAAGCATCCAACTGATTCTTTGCTGTGATTAGTAATCACTGTTACATGAACTGATGCAAAGTGAAGTGAGCAGAACCAGGAGAGATTGTACATGATAGCAGCAATACTGTATGATAATCAGTTGTGAATGACTTAGCTATTCTCAGCAATACAATGATCCAAGACAATTCTAAAGGATTCAAGATGAAAAATGCAATCCACCTCCAGAGAAAGAACTGATGGAGTTTGAATGCTGATTGAAGCATACCATTTTTCACTTTCTTAATTATATCATATCACATTTGGACTCACCCAGTCCCACAGCAAAACCCAATGTGGGTTTTTTTAATCTGTGTTTTCTTTCACAACATGACTAATATGGAAATATGTTTTGCATGATGGCACATATATAACCTATGTCAAATTACTTGCCATCTCAAGGAATGGATAGAGAGGGAGGGAGAGAATTTAAAAAATCAAATGTCAAAAATTACTTTTACATGCAATTGGGAAAAATATTAATAAATAAAAGTAATCACTGTCTGCCTGACAAAAAAAAAGAGGATCTCCCAGAAGGTGAAAAACCAGTAGCAATTAAAATATACTTCTTTAGCATAAACTGACCTATAAGTAGACTAGGGACCCATCCTCATTCTTTACCATCCTCTATTTTCTATTTTTGCCTCAAAATAAATGGAAAGTTGAAGGACGACAAAACCAAGAGCAAGCCCTCCAGGATGCTCAGAAGCCGGATGCTTCGGCTTGCTCAGGGCAGAAGCCCACACCAGATGGACCCAAGAAGAAGGGGTAAGAAACAAGGCATGACCTTTTCTAAGCAATTGTTCACATTTTAGCCCAGCTGACCATAAAGTGTTGCCATTGCAGTCTCTTTAAGAGTGGCTTCAACTAAATGTTTCATGGCAGACTAAAGATACTGGGCACTGAGCACTATTCTGCTTTCAGTCTGCTAGGAAATGAAGCTGCACTTAGTTTTGTTACTAGATAAGTAATACCAGACCACAGACACTCACACATACACAGAAGAATTATGTCACATTTGGGCTCACCAGTGCCACATCAAGAAAGGAAGAAAAGAGAGCCTGGAGATTCAATCTGCTTGGGCCACTGGAAATATTTCAGAAGGAAAACTCATTGTTTACAATTTAAAAACAGCACTTAGCAAAAGGCTTCATTTTATACATTGTTACAAGATAAGGCAGGGAGAAACATCAGCTGGCACATAGAGAAGAGTGTCTCTGTGGGGTAAGGGAGCTTCTGCAAATACGTGCCATTTCCTATGAATACTTAGAGTAAACAGAAAACACAACGTACAACTGGAACCTGTAGCTGTGTTTTGGGGGTGGGGCAAGTTTGATGTCTTTTATGGGAGGGAATAGAGATTTTCTAATCTGTTAATCTGTGATTGGTCTGGGGGAGTCTGCTTGTCCTTGAAAAAGAACTGGAGTAAAAGAAGGCAAAACGTAAATGAAGATATTCTCAGATGGAGTTATTCATGATAATGATAATATGATAATAATAGCTAGCATTTATATACTGTTTGCTGTATGCCAGGTATTGTGCTAAGCATTTTACAATCATTGTCTCATTGAACCTCACAACCACTCTGGGAGGTAGGTGCTATTATTATCCTCATTTTACAGATGAAGAAACTGAGGCAAACAAAGGTTAAGTGACTTGCCCAGGGTCACAGAGCTACATATCTGAAGCTGGGTTTGAACTGGTCTCCCTGACTCAATGCCCAGGGCTCTATTAACTGTACCATCTAGCTGCTATCTAATATCAATTTTTTTCCTTTTGCAGTTTAAATATTTGACACAGTTCATCCTGCATAATGCTCTGAATGTCAAATGTCACACTAATGCATTATATAGTTACCCAAAGTCACTTTCTGCCAACTGGGGCAGAAAGAAGCTGTGGAAGCTATTTTAGCTGTAAGTCAGCTGTTATGGGCTATTTCCCTAATATCTCCTCACGGTCAGAGGGCTCATACTCCAAAGCCATTTTTAGTCAAGGGTTAGCAACCATGGGCCATATTTCATTCAGAAAGAAGCTACCAAAGAAACAAAGGAAACCATCATTCTGGTTCAATTACATTGCCTGAACACTTGCTCCCTCCTCCTTCTCAGATTGTTTATTTAATTCTGTTCTATAAACACTTATTAAACAATGCAAGGCATTGGGGAACTGGAACTATCTAAATAGATAAAGCATTTACCCTAATCTCAAAGAGCTTACAGAGAAGACTGGTTTATTAATGCTACACGCTTCTGATCTTACTTCATGTAGAAGATGAGTGCATTATTGATAATTATGGTGTTGCCAGTGATATTATAAATAGGAGTTAGTGTTATTATTATATAGCTGCTTGTAGACCTCAAAACTAGAACTGTAACTAGAGTATGACGTGGGGTTGGTGGAAGGAAATAACTGGGGATTTTCCTCAGGGTACCAAGATTTAAAGGGTGCAAAATTTTAAGAAAAACATTCCTCTGGCATCTAGATTCTTAAGCACCCATCAAGCACAATTAATTAAAATAAAAAACCATTAAATCTAATTTTTCTTCTTACTCAAGGGAATTTGTCTCAGTTACTTCTTGTATTTTCATGACATGAATTACAAAGTTGATTTGAGGGCCATTTTGTGCTGCTTATTCCCTACACCCAAACTGTTAGTTCCTACTTTATTCAAACATCTCTGATACAATGTGCATCCTTCCAACAACCAAGACTGGGCTCTGGTCCACCTCTAAGATGAAAGAGAGAGACCAATGCTCCTTTTTCCTTCCTCCTCAGTTGCTGGCCACAATGAAGAGACCAGAACTCCCTCTAGCCCTCTCTTTGTCCTTTGATAGAAGTCAGACTTTGTTAAAAGGGGGCTTTCCCCCCCTCAGAATTATTACTCTAATATTGTTGCAAAGAGGATTGAAAAGTGTTCTTCTCCTTTAGAACAATTTTGGGATTTTGTTTTAAAATTTTTCCTTATTTTATCTACTTTTTTGAAATCAATTACAGATTTCTACTTAGCAAGTTCAAATCAGCAACCCGAGGGGAAATCATAACTCTGAAAACTGAGAGTGGAAGGAGCTACAGCTTGGACCTGAACTCTTCTCATTTTCATAACCCAAGGTCATCATCTGGTTCTGACAGGTAAAGAACATGCACATTTAATAGTGCTAGAAATTAGGCATAAAATTAACACTTTTCAGAACAAGGAGGACTTCCAATAACTCAATTGTTGACATCTAAGACTTTTTATTGTCCTAGAACCTTAACTAATTCCTAGGGTACTGATAGGATTTGTAGTAGTTGAAGCTGAAAGATTTTTTATCAAAACTATAATTAGTAATATGTGACCTGAAAAATTCTCTCAAGGACACATTCATCTGGACTGGGGGAAGTAAAGGGCATCTCGTAACTTCCTATTTTAACTTATTAGCAGTTGCCACCCAGATATTAAACTCAGTTGTCTAGGTTGCTGAAAAAGTGCTGTCAGCATCTTCAATATTTCAGCACTCTACATAGAAGCCCCAGTTTGCCCTACTCTCATTATAGTTCTGTATTTTATTCTTGATCAATCAGTAAACATTTTTAAGCACCTACTGTGTGTCATGCACTATGCTAAGTGCTGAGGATACAAAAAGAGTTAAAAGGCAGCCTCTGCCGTCAAGAAGCTTACAATTTAATAGGGGAGATAATATACAAACAAATATATAAAAAACAAGCTATGTAATATATATATATATATATATATATATACACATACACACACACACAAAACAAGGATAAATAGAAAATAATTGACAGAGGAAAGGCACTGAAATTAAGAGGAATTTGGGAAGGATTACAGTAAAAAATAAGATTTTAGTTGAGACCGAAAGGAAAGCAGGGAGGTCAGTAGTCAAAGATGTGCAGGAAGGGCATTTCAGGCATTGGAGACAGCCATACAAAATGTCCAGAGTGGGGAGATAGAGTGTCTTGTTCATGGAATAGCCAGGAAGTCAGTGTCACTGGATCAAAAAGTACATGTTAGGGAATAAGGTATGAGAATACTGGAAAGGTTGGAAGGGACTAGGTTATGAAGGGCCTTGAATGTCAAACAGAGCATTTTGTATTTGTTTCCTATTCAGTTGTGATTATAACAACGTGCTAGGCCACACCCTGGGAGAAAAGCTTTTTTTATGGCTTAGAATCCCATGGTGTAGCCTAAATGGGGGAACCTATAAAGAAAGGAAATGTGTTCTTCATTGACTTCTTGATTCTTTTGTGTATAAAGTTCTCAAAAAAGAAGCCTACCTAGCACCATTATATTTCACCAGTCTTACAAAAAAGTATTTAGAAATAAAGCAGTAGTTTTTTTATTATTATTATTATTATTACTATTTTCAAAAAGTGAATTGATCCGCAGCCCTACTTCCTTCCTCCCTCTGACTTTTCTCCACCTCCTCCTATTCCACATCACTAAGGTGAGCATATTCTTGAAATGGAGACTCTTTAACATTCCCTCATGAATGCAGAAATCAAAAGAGACAACCATAGTCAGTGGGCAAGAGGGACAGAATGCATTGCCTTTATTTTAAGTCAAATGCTTCATTCTTATAAATCCCTAGGGACATAGTCCAATGCCTAGTCTCATAGCTACTGTGTGATGAAAAGCAAAGAAATCTGCAGTTGTTATTCATCAGGGTCCACGGGAAGAATCCTTTTGGCTAAAAGAGATAAATGGTCATTTGTCCCCCTGAAATGGCTGTCTGAGAGGTAGGATAATGGTAGTGTACAATTGAGAAAGTCTAGTTTTTCTTGTAACTTCTGCAAATGCAATGGTTCTTCTCTGGCATCTATTACCTAACATCAGGTAGCAAGATTCCCTGCCTTGAGCACCATTTTCTACTTATTTTTCAGCAGTGACATACCATAATTGCCTTTGTTCTTCTAAGGCCTATCTCTTCTTTTTCTTTTCTTAGAATTAGATGGTATGCCACACTATGCATTGAGAATCAAAGTCATACATGCCATTTCTCGCTGTAGGAGTGCCTTCCCCAGACACAGTCCCCACAAGCAAGTTATAAGAAATAACTGAGGCTGTAGAGTGGAAAGGTAGCAGGAAAATGGGATAATTTTCCCCAGAATTCAGGGAAGAGTTTCACTACTTGAGAATTCTATGGCATTTTAAATTTCTATCACTGTAAACTTGAGAGGAGGATGGAAGAAAATGAAAGGGGGGAAAAAGTATGAGAAGTTAGTATTTGAAAGGGACAGAAGAAATAAGAGAATGGAGTGGAAGGAGGGTCAGTCATGGGATGGCTAGCATTGAGTTGAATGGAAGGGAAAGAGTAACAGGATACCTAGAATACCTTTTATTCCTTTTGCTATTTCCTCTGGGAAATTTCTCAGGATCCAGTAATTCTGCCTGGAATAATTATCTAGATTACAGTATTAAAAAGAAGATGAGAATCCAGCAAAAGAGACAGCAAAGATTTTAAACCTTTGTATGATCTGGTTGCCGTGGCCTGAGAAACACAGCCTTCTAGGTCTATACATACACCCATGATAAGGTACTAAACTGCTTTAAACAGTAGATGTGCTCATAAAAAAAAGACTCACCCTGTTAAAAAAAAAAAAACTGGACAGGATCCTGTTAATGATCCTGTGAATAAAACACTTTGATATACATTTCAATGATTAAACTGTAAAAAGGAGAAAGTGTAAAAAGAATGAATGATAGACTGCATTGTTAAGAAAAATATGTTAAGGAAAAAATGGTGAAAAGTGGATTAGGTGCTGTTTGAAAATCAGAGCGCTCAGCACTTTCTTAGCAGGAGTGCAGGCCATATTCCCCAACCTGAGAACTATATTCTTCAAACTGCTGTGTCCATTATCCACCTGGCTGGATTTGCTTCTCATATTTTATCAACTGCAGAGCATAAGAAACCATCAGTTGGAGGATACAAAGCACAAAGTACTGGTATTTCCAAATACTAGTGTTTTTTTTCACAGAATACTGAGAGGCTGTCATTAGTTTAGGAGGAAAAAACAGTCTAAAGATTATCTGAATTTAATAAGAGGTTTCTATGACAAATAAAATGAGAATATTTTTGTCAGGGAAGAGAAGATAAAGAATGTCAGAAATTCTAGGACTGGAAAGACTTTTTGGAAGTGTTTATATCACTCACAATACTAAATACATACAGACATACATATATGTGTGAATATATAGACATGTATATATACACGTAATACCTCATTTTATTGTGCTTCACTTTATTGTGTTTTGCAGATATTGTGGGATTTTTTCCCTTAATTGAAGGCTTGTGGTAACCCTTTACTGGGCAAGTCTATTGGTGCCATTTTTCCAACAGCATGTGCTCACATTGTGTCTCTGTGTTACATTTTGGTAATTCTGACAGTATTTCAATCTTTAGTAAGCCATAACTTTTTTGATCTGTTTTCCAATATATACTTTAGTATTATATTTCTACCTCTTGACCAAAACCCCCAATGATATCCCAAGATACTGACTCTGAGATTAAAATTTCATCCCTTTACTTATTTAGGAAGGGGTAGGAATCTAACTTTCAACATTCATTACATTTCATTACTGAAAAAGTTGTTTTTTTATCAATTCTGATACTAAAGTCTTTTGAGTTAGAAAGTATTTTGGATATTTTCTAGTATGACCTTATTTTAAGAAACTGAGTATGTTTCATACCATCATACCATATCATACCATACTATGATGCAACTTAAGACTATAAAGCACAGATTCAGAAGGACCTTAGAAGTCATCCAATCTACCCATCCCTCATTTTATAGATGTAGGTGGATTCCACAAGGTTACGTAGGTAGAGGTGGCATGGTGTAGTCAAAAGAGCATTGATGGTATACTCAGAAGACTTGGGTTCAAATCATGCATCTGACACTCAATACTTGTGTGATCTTCGGCAAGTTGGTCAGTAAACATTTATTAAGCACCTACTTTGTGCTAGGCACTGTGCTAAACTCAAGAGATTCAAAGAGAGGCAAAAGACGGCCCCTGACTTCAAGAAGCTTACTATCTAATGGAGTAGACAATCTGCAAACGACTGTGTACAAACAAGCCACATAAAGAATAAATTGGAGATAATCAACAGAGGGAAGGCTCTAGAATGAAGTGGAATTGGAAGAGGTTTCTTGTAGAAGATGGGATTTTAGCTGGAATTTGAAGGAATCCAGAGAAGCCAGGAGGCAAAGAAGAGGAGCATTCCAGTAACAGGGGACAACCAGTGAAAATGCCAGGAATCTGGAGAGATGTATAGTCATCCCTCAATATTCCCAGGGGTTAGGGGTGCAGGACCCCTGCAAATGTGAAAAACCATGAATAGCTCTAGGATCGACCCCAAACCTTTATTTTTAATAATTTTGATCATATTTATTCAACACACAAAACAAGTAAAACAACATGGTACACCCATGAAAAGGCTGCGGTTCTACACAAAAAAAGTTTAGCATCTCGCACACTCTACAGAGTCTTCTCAGTTGTTGCTTCATGGATTTCTTTCTACGAGAAACACAAGATCCAGCAATCACTAAGGGAGAAAATCATGTGACTGTGTCTGGATGGCAGAGAGACAAAGTGGAAGCTGGTAGTTCTTTAACACGTTGAAACTTTAAATGAAATTTGGTTGTTTATGATAAATTTATGTATGTATATTTATGGTAGTAAATGATAAAATAGATTAATAACATACAGTATTTATGTATTTGTGGCTTACTACTTTTTTTAGTTTTGTTTACATATGTGTGTGGTCTGTGATTTTTCACAGTACGGTGTACATCTCCAAAAATTCCCATTTAATTATTAACCCTCCACTCACAAATAACCAAAACTGCAAATGTGAAACCCGAAAATGTCAAAGGATGATTGTAATTTGTTTGAAGAATGGCAAGGAGGCCAGTTTTACTAGATTGAAGAGTATATGGGAGAGGGGTATGGTAAGATGTAAGAAGCCTGGGAAGGTATGGGAGGCAGGTAATAAAGGGCTTTGAATGCCAAATAAAGGATATGCATTTGATCTATGAGGTCTGGGAGCCATTTGGAGTTTATTTATTGGGGTGTGGGAGACAGAGACATGACCAGATCTACACTTTAGGAAGATTCCTTTGACAGCCAA